CCTCTGACAGCACTCAAATGCAAAAAAAAATATGTGTAGGCATGCATGCATGTAACCTCACCAAACCTCATATGGCTCAAACATCATCCAGCTTATACACGGTACTCCGCACGCAGGAGTAGTTTGATGGACTGACAAACTGAGGCTTTGAAATTCAGGCATGCAAGGACCTTTCTGCATCGACTCCTGTAGTCTACAAGGGTGTCCTGGGCTTTAGATGGCTTCAGGCTGTAGCTTTTTAGCTGCTGAAGCTCATCATGAACCCTGTCCCCCGACACATGCGCGCAAAAGCCGACTTGAGCACGCGAATGCGTACGGAAGCAGAGCACACAAGCGCTGACACAGACACAGCGACGCAACCACACACACGCACACTGACTGAGAGAGAACATGATGGCAGGGGCGGAAATTTAATTTGGCTGTGAACTGTTCCGGGGCAGATCTCTCACAGGTTTGAACCCTGCCGGCCCTGGACCCTCAGCGCCCCAGCAGCCCTAGGCAGTATTAGTCTTCACAACTGCTCTCTGGTCGATGTCAATTTGCTTTTGTTTGGCTGTCGCGATCACGCGCTCCTGCTTCTTCTGAGCTCTTAGGTCTTAGGTTGCAAGAAAACCCTTGGACCATGACCCACTCCTTAGAGCTCTTCCGTCTGGATAGTGACATCCCGGAGCCACATTGGAGTTTTCAAAAAAAACATCGGGGAACTTCATCTTGACCCTAAAGTTGGCAGGATCCGTTTTTGTTCCGGACCTCCTGGTCTGCAGAAACCAGCCCCATTCAGAATCCTCTACCACTTTCGCCCTTTGAAAAAACCCTGAACCCTAAACCCTAAACCCACCCTAAACCCTAACCCCTAAACCCTAAACGCTAAACCCTGAATCCACCATTGTCCCTGAGGCCCCATGCCACAGCTTAATTAAGGACCAGATGAGACTTAAAAGTAGGGGGCCTGTACAATTATACCATGAATCTCTATATGGGTGGTTGTCAAAATTAGGGTCCCTTTTCTGCGTACCCTAAATATAAGGTGCCGTATTATATTAGGGACCCAAAAAGGGACCATAATTTTGACAACCACCCATATGGTATACGAACCCTAAACCCTTTTAGAGTGATTTTTCGTCCTTTAAAGTACACGTTGAACATTATGTCCCTGACAATATCCTCGATCAGAAAACCTCCCGAGTGATTTGCAGTTTAGGGTTTGGGGTTTGGGGTTTAGAGCAGCACAAAATCAATACACCCTAAACCCAGAGCATTGACCGGACTCCAGTATGTTGGCTTGGTCTTTTCGGGCATTACGGGTTTTCCATGAACCCTAAACCCTACATCACTATACCTAAACCCTTCAGCCCCAAACCGCTAAACCCTGAGCCCTCAACTGCTCTGGGGTTTCTGGGCTCGACGCTGACACCTGGAGCTCCGAAACCCTGTGGAGATCGATGAAAAAATACACTCGAGCGAATATCCACAAGGACTGACACGCGGCCAACACACACCAACCAGCAGATCGTGCTAAACCTTATAATATAGAGGCCTTAATAATTCTAATGCGTTTTGGGGCTCCTTTATACTATACTCATAATAAGGACCCCCCCCCACCAAAATAGTATAGGTAATTACTAAAGCCCCTATATTAGGCACAAAATAATAAAGGAAATTATTAAGGCGCCTATGTTAGGCACAAAATAACAAAGGTAATTATTAAGGCCCCTATAATATACCCTAAACCCTAAACCCTAAACCCTAAACCCTAAACCCTAAACCCTATATAAGGCATCCCTCCAGCTCAACGACTCACCAGGGAACCCAAGTCTGCTTCGTGAATCCATTGTGGAGGCAGCTGCCGACGTAACCTGGAGTTTAAGGCTACGGGTTTAGGGTTCAGGGCCTTCAGGGTTTAGGATTTTAGGCTTTAAGGGTTTAGGGTTTTAGGGTTTAGGGTTTTAGGGTGTAGGGTTTAGGGTTTTAGGGTTTGGGGTTTTAGGGTTTTAGGGTTTAGGATTTTAGGGTTTAGGGTTTAGACTTTCTGGTTTTGCCTTCAGCATTTAGGGTTTAGGGCTGAAGGCTAAGAGTCGAGGGTTTAGGGTTTAGGTTTAGGGTCCGGGAGTTTGGGGGGATGGTTCTTCAATGTGACCCCGGTTAGGTCCACATGCTAGTGCATGTAGGTACATGTATATGTGTACACAGACATGTAATGGCTTCTTCAACTTGATATATCAACTGCGGTGCTGTTCGGGGGCTGTTCTGCTGCTCCTCATTATGCGAAACGTTCGACGCAGACTCTTCGGGTTTTGAGGCTACAGGGTCTCTGCATACAGAGGCAACCTGGAGAGCAGCACAGCGAAACTTGGGTTCAGAGTCGACTGCATAAGACAGGGTTTAGGGGTTTGGGGTTTAGGGCTTAGGTCTCTCTGAGTACAAAACTACCGGCGCCAGTCAACGCTAACATGGGAAGCAGCTGAAGCAAGTAGACTGAGGCATGGATGTCACATCATCTCTATACAGGAACCAGGCAAGAACATCAAAGCCCTCACCTGTATAAGGACTATTATAGGTATGTTTAGGTCCTGAAAGACACAGGGCCTATCAAGCAGGATGCAGAGTCTTTTGCCTCTGATGCCTCAAACCCTTAAACCCTAAACCGTCATGATGCTGGATTGTTGCTTTAGTACACAAGTTAGCATAAGTTCCTCAACCTCCGGAACATCGTGAGTGACCTCGCTTGCAATCATAACGCTGGTGACCGAAAACCCTAAACCCTACACCCTGACATAGGAGCCTTAATAATTAAAATAGGGTTTTGGGGTCCACTATACTATAATTATAGTAAGGAGCCCCAAAAATAGTACAGATAATTATTTCGGCCCCTACATTAAGTCTAGGACTAGGAGTCTAGGCCCAGGCTGTTTCGCTGGGGTTCGAGTGGTAACCTCGATTATTGTTTTCGGGTGCAGGGTCCAGGGATAGGACATCATGTGCTTCCGCATCCCCCGAACACGAAACTCAAGTTCATGATAGGGTTTAGGGCTTAGGGTCCATGATAGACAAAGATGGGACTGCACCCTAATAACTACGAAGCCCACCAAACACGAAGCCCACGTATCCGGCGAAAGCGCGCCGAAAGCCGGGACATCTACATCTTAAGCCCACAAGCATGGCACAACACCAAAACCCAGAGCCCCGAAATCTCGAACCCCACACACCTGCTCAGCCCCGTAGAATCGGTAACTTTTCTTCAGTTTCCTACCATCAATAACAGAGTCATCTTCCGTGATCAGAAGCCACCCTAAACCCTAAACTCTAAAGCTAAGCCCTAAAGCTCCAAAACCTAAAAACCCGAAACCCTAAAGCCTTGAACCCGGAACTCTAAAAACCCTACAGCCCTAAACACCAAAACCCAACAATCCTAAACCCAAAAAGCCCAACTAAACCATAAGCCGGGTCGCTCTTCAGCAGTACGATTTTAGAGCCTGCAAAAGGAGGCATTCACGGTTTGGGGTTTAGGGTTTAGGTTCAGGGTTTAGGGTTTAGGGTTTAGGCCAGGGCTCAGCGCTTCGCTGAGGGCTTCGGTCGGTCGTTGTTTGGGCTTGCGGTTGAGATTTTAAAGGTTCAGGGTACCTGGGTTTTTCTCTAAATTAGGGTTCCTTTGAAGTCCCCCAGTAGTACGGCACCCTTACAAAAAAGACTCTAAAAGGGACCCTAGTTTGGAGAACTACCCACGTTAAGGATATTCATTCCGAAACAGGCTACCTGAACCTATAAGCTCTGCCGTTACTTGCCCAGGTGTTGCTGGAGGTTATAGACCATGGCATCGATTCTGCCAGCCCGGTGGCCTGTGCTAGACCAAGTGAAGTCGCACATCAACCATGAAATAACAATGCCGGGGCCTCTTCGTGCGCAGAATATGGTTTTGGCATATATCACGGTTTAGTTGTATCACTTAAGGTAGAATGCTACATTAGCAATAGTAGTTAGGCGTTACCCCTGGACCTGGAACCCTCTATCCCAAACACCCTGATCCCTGAACCCTACAAAGCTCTTCTTGAAGAACTTACCCCGGCACTCCAAGACCACTTGATTGTGGAATTATAACCTATATCATATTACGAAACCCCAAGGCGTGTTCCATAATCATAATTAAACGGTTTTTAGAGTCTTATAGTACAACCACTAAGCTAAACCTCTCGCTCTCCATCGGCCTCCCAGCCTTTAAACACTACTGCGCCGGGCCGATAATTTGACCCACTAGCTTGAGCAACGAAGTCGAGCCCCCTAACGGTCTTCTCCCTAGACTCCTGACACAAGGGGCCTCCTCCACAATGAACAAGTATCATACTTTGTGAAACGGCGTAGCAACTACTCCGCTACTCCGCAAGAGGCTGTAACATGTAACGGCTAGACAAAAGTCCCGGTAGCTCAAAGACTTGGGCCTGAGGGTGTAAGCCCCCGACACCGAAAATGCCACAAAAATTCTGAGCAAACAACCCCTAAAACAAAAGAATGCAGACTCCATCAGACGGTTTTGAGTCTGGGGTTTAGGGACTAGGTTTGGGTTTCGAGTCCATACTCATACAGCAGCTACAGCACCGTCGAACCCTACGAAACCTCCTTGTCGCTGCGCTGCAAATCTCGTGAACGACCCAACAACCCAAGTTAAACCCTAAACCTTAAACCCTAACCCTAGAAACCCCTAAATCCTAAAAACCCTAAAAACCCTAAACCTTAAACCCTAAACCCTAACCCTAAAAACCCCTAAACTAAAAACCCTAAAAACCCCCAAAAGCCCTAAGGTAAACCCTAAACCCTAAACCCTCACGGAAGGCACCAGGATTCAGACTCCAAAGCGGCGGCGCCTTTGTGAGGGCTCGCCTTGAACCTGCTTGGGATTGCTGGAAGGCTTAGGGTTTGGGATTTTAGGGTTTTAGGACTTTAGGGTTTTAGGGCTTAGGGTTTGGGATTTTAGGGTTGAGGGTTTAGGGCTTTAGGGTTTTACGGTTTAGGTTTTGGGGTTTAAGGTTTTAGGGTTCTAGGGTTTGGGGGTTTAGGGTTTTGGGTTTAGGGTTTAGGGTTTTAGGATTCAGGTTTTAGGGTTTTAGGGTCTAGGATTTAGAGTTTTAGGATTTAGGGTTTTAGGGTTTTAGGATTTTCGGGTTGAGGGTTCAGGGTTTGGGGTTTGGGGTTTAGGATTTTAGTGTTTAGGGTCTCAGGGTAAGGTTTAGGGTTTAGGGTTTTGGGTTTAGGCTTAGGGAGCAGTAAGTTTAGGGAGCAGTAACCCTAAACCTTACAAACATCCGAAACTTAGGTTCAAAGGTTCAACATCGAAAGCAGCACCCTGAGCTTCCAGAAACTCCCAGAATCGAAACCAAACGGCTCACGACCCACGCTCCGTAAAGCCAAACCTTGGGCCCTTGAGCCCTTCGCGCTGCACCCGAAACCTTAAACCCTTCAGGCCCTAAACGATTTAGGGTTTAGGGTTTCGGGTTTAGGGCCTAGGCTCATAGTCCTGACGGGGACTTAGTAACTAGTTATTTTACAGACTTTTAAGAACCATAACCCCAACTAGGATCCCTTTTAGCATACGAAAAACTCTGTTTGATATCTACTTACCAAGTCCCGCGACCCTCCAAGAAGTCGGCGCAAGAGTCCTGTAGTTCAAGCCCTGCCTCCCAAGCTGCAAGAGGAATTGACTCTCCATCCCACTTTCGGAACATCTACACACAGTGATCAGTGTTGTATACAAGTTTTTCAAGCCAAGTAGGCTCCTTAACAAAGGCAAATACGGACGCTGTTATATAGGGTCTTATGCATGGATCGCTCGGGAAAACACGCCTTCTCATCACCAGCTTTTGCTGCTCCGTGGTCAAGCGCTCGAAGATTTCCATGACCTAGATGCCGTTTCTGTCATCTTGTGGGATACTTTACTCGTCATGCACACCTCTCTAGAATACACCCCAGAAGCCTCCAAACCTCAAAGCCTGAAAACCCAAACCAGAGACTAAAAACATCCATGAGTTATGCAAAATGACATACCTGATTCATGGCTATTCGGTGTTTTTTAGAAGGCATGTTCGCCCCCCACTAATTATTCGGGGTTTAAGGTTCAAGGTTTCCCAGCGGTCTTGTTTTCAGGTCGCAGAAACATATACGGATGAGGGATTGGGCATTCTAAGATTTGAGAGGTGCCTCCCAAACACTTACGCAAGCGTGGCAGAAGCACAGCGCACGGCTTATCCTTCGCTTTAGGTTGCGAAGCTTCACTGTCTAAAGAAGTCTATGACCCGGACAGCCCGGTGGGCCCTGGACACAAGACGCGACCTTCTCTACGCCTCTACGCGCCAAAGCGCCTTCATCATCAGTGGAGAATCAACAAAACCGAACGCGAAGCTGGCAAATTCGACAAGTATAACTTCCAAGGTCTAAGCTCTAAACACCTAAACCTGAGTCCTCAACCCTACACCGTAGCTGTATGAATGCCGTGCACAGGAGCTTGCTCAATCGGCATGTCCCACTTCTCGGCGAAGCATCGGACCTGCAACGTGGACGGTAGCACTGGTCGTGGTCGTCGTCGTCGTCGTCGTCGTCGTAATCGCGGTAATCTATCCGTAGTGGCAGCGGTAATGGCAGCGGTGGTGGTGGCAGTGGTGGTGGTGGTGGTGGTGGTGGTGGTGGTGGTGGTGGTGGTGGTGGGCAGTGGTCGTCGTCGTGTTTCTGCGGCCCCTGCAAACGACTACCAAACAGATTCAACAACCAGAGCCCAGATCCGAGCCTCCTCGTACAGAAGGTCCTTGATGCGCCTTTTCCTTGGTTGCTAGTAGTAGCATTATAATCACGGGCATTCCAAGAGCCCAGGTAACATGAACAGGCTTTGGGGAGGTTGTAATCTACTCTACTTTATTGCAAAGACCATAGAAGAAAATTGCTATCAGGTACTGAGTCTCGAAGATGTCCCCGATTCGCCTGAAGTTCGACCCGCTGACTGGCTTGCCAGCATAGATTTGGCGTTTCAGGCTTGGGGTTTCATGGTTTAGGGTTCTTGGTTAGGGGGGCGGGTGTTTAGGGTGTAGGGTTTATGGCTCACTGAAACTAGCCCGAGCCCCAAGACGCAGAAATAGAGGGGGTCTCGTGATTGTACTGTTCTTCACCATTCAGATGCAAAGCCTCGCGAAAACGCTATACCCCAAACCCTAAACCATCCCTTGATATGGGAACATGGCTGGACAATTTCTGCAACTGGTAGGGGCTATAGTTCAGAGTGATTCGAAGCCTTGGCTTCGAGGACCTTGGCTGTCTGCTGCTTGGTTTGGGGGTTTAGGGTTTGGGCTAACCCTCGCACCCCTAAGCCATCCGAATACTTCGGTAAAGGGGGAAGAGGGGGTTCCGCCGGAACATTGGCAAGTCCACGAAGAAAGAACCCACTGTGTAGGGTTTAGGATTTTAGGGCAAGGGTGTTCAAGAGGGACCTATAGCTATGGCCTGAAGGGTCTCTTCAATGTCGAACCCCTTTTGAATGATCTACCAAACACCTCAGAGTGGAATACCATGCAGTGTCCCGTACATCACAGTTCTCACCAGGTTGCTGCTCCACGTTATTGTAAACCCCTGATTAATGAACCCCTCACTACTGACAAGGAATATGATGGGGATCCCGAACTTAGCATTTAAAGAAAAAGGGTTTCCAACTCCGGGGACTACACTACAGAATTGCAGTCAGTCTTCATCATCGGTGCCGGCACAATGATTATCACAAATGTGCCGCAGCACACCCGTTAGAACAACGAAGCATAAGCGGCACACCCTTGGAAGCTTCGTCTTCACTAACGTCTCTCTTCCTTCGAAGTTTATGGGGGTTGCTTGTGGTGACGCAAGCCAACCGCTCAAGGATTCTATAGGATTCTATCTTAAAGCACAGACTTTCAAACTGGTTGAGGCTTATGTAGTGTATGCAGAGTGCTGGGGCCTGACGCTATGCGGAGATTAGGCGAGGATTCAACACCCTTCCAAGTTCCAAAAAAGCAATTTCAAACAGATATCCGGCACATGAAGCAAAGCAGGCTTGCATTGGATTTATCACACTTCCCAGGCCAAACATAGCTTCAGATTTCTAGGTTCGACTAGTCTAGGGGAGGGTACTTCCTGAAAGCAGAAGCCAGCGTCAGCTGCTTCAGACCATCTTCGACCCAGTCGTTGTTGCTAACCTGTCAAGGAAGTCCCTGCTGCAATCTGAAACCCTAAACCCTAAACCCAAAACCCTAAACCCAAAACCCAAAACCCAAACCCAAAATCCTAAACCCTAAACCCTAAACCTGCTAGTTTTAGCTTAGTCTCCTTGGGTTACAGCACCGAACCGGATTCCCAAATTGAAACAGCCACATCCATGTCCAAGCCTTAAGACAGTGCGCCAAAATTACCCTAGACAAGCCCTTCAGAGTCGAGTTTCGGCTTCAAGGTTTGAGGGGGCCCTAAACCCTACACCCTAAACGGTTTAGGGTTTAGGGCTCAGTCGCCGTTCGACCGTTCAGGCTTCCGATCTGTAGGGTTCATGAGTGCCGGTATAGGGCAGCTGGAGCAAGCCTCTTACACCCCCTCAGCCTCTGAAACCCAAAACCCAAAGGCCCAACTCGACTAAACCCTACAGTAAACCCTGAACTCAAAAGCTGCAAATCCCTCAGACCTGAAGCACCCAAACCCCTACCAAAACATCCTACATCTCCCCAACAGCAAAAACACCAGAGGCCGAAATCTCCTCAACCGTAAAGCCCTAACGCCCCTGGGCCAAAAACCCTGGAAGAACACGCAAATCCCTTTAGAAAAAAAACTCTCAACTCTTACCAGGCCCTATTTTTAAAAAATCTCTCAAAATAAACACATGCCTCTGCATGAAGCGAGCCCCCCGTCTGTGTGGAAGCTGCTGCGCTGTCGGGACTGGAATGCACGTGGTCTTCCTCCTGGCCGCAAGTTGCCAAACTTCGGTTTAGGGTTTAGGGTTTAGGGTATCAAGCTGCTTGGTGTTCAGGTCAAAAAAGTTTAGAGTTTGGGGTTCGGGTTTTGTGTTGTCTTTGCAAATTAAGTCCCTACAGCCCTCCATGTAGCCGATAGTATCGCCCTTCTAGAACCCGCCGGAAAACCACTTTCATCAGAACGCACTCTAAAACCCTTCCCGATTAAAAACCCTATGAAGCTCAACCTGTGATGTCCTTAAAATGTGACACCTTTTTTGAAAAAACCTTATAAACCCATCTTAAACCGATATGAAGCCGTCATAAGACTCTTTTTCTTGACATGTCCCGGCCTTTTGGTCTCTACCCCAGCGGCCTTTCCAAACACCACCCGGCGAGGTGCCTTCCTTCAGGGTGAGGATCTTTTGGCGAGGCTTGACTTTAAAGGATCTAGAAAGGTACCTAAACCCTAAACCCTAAACCCTAAACCCAAACCCCCTTAGAAAGGCACCTTAAAGAGTTAAGGGTCCCCTTGAAAGGAAGTATAAAGGTTCCCTTGAAGGATCTAGAATGAATCTCTACAGTTCCCTTAATGGGGATTAGGGTTTGGCTTCCTTTAACGGACCTCTGTGGGTTCCCTTGAAGGCACTAGTGTTTAGGCTTTGCGGCGGAGCTTAGGTTTAGGCTTTAGGGTTTTGAATCCAGGTTCTGGGGTTTGGGGCTGGGAACTACTTTTGGATGTTGGCAACGACAGTTTTTTGAGTGTTAGGCTTGAAGTGTCCTAGGGAAACACAAAGAACTAGACGTTGCAAACCATGCCGATGCAGCACCGGACAATGCGCGAATTAAACATATGGGGAGAACTAGACGAGGTCGTACAGTCGCCGTGGTGGCGGCGGCGCTGCTGCCTTGCTCCCAACTCTCACCCCCTCCCACTCGAAACTCGTGCTGCATCTTCGTCTTCGGCCCCATCAAGCCCAGGCCGCAATCTCACAGTCTGGGGTTTAGGGCCTTTTTAATTGGACACCCTTTACCAGCTGCATGGCACATGCTACCGGAGTTTAGGGTTCGCGTATCCGACAGTCCCTAAACCCTAAACCCTAAACCCCAAACCCCGAACCCTAAACCCTAAGTCTTCAACTTTAGTCTTGCACGGAGCCCGCCCAAATTCAAGTTTACACTCGAGAAGCGGAACCGTAGTCCTGTATTTCGAGGACCAGAAGCTGAAAACCGCCCGGCTACTCGCGCCCCAGTATGCCTGCAGCTGCCCATGTCCCAACACAGAAGCTGATAAACCAAACAAGAATGTGCGTGCTGGCTGTTTATACACGCAAGCTAAACTCCCAACACCGGGTATGCATGGCTCTATACCAATAAACCTGAAACCCCTCGTGAACGAAATACATCTTCACCCAAAATACTGACCAGAGCTGCCCTAAACCCCTAAACCCTAAACCCTAAACCCTAGATCCCTATAGACCCTAAACCCTAAACCCCTAAACCCTCAACCCTACCTGCGTCCATGTGGCTGACTGCCAAGCATGAAGCCGCCTCATCAACGCGATTTCTAAGCGGATCTCTAAGGGAGCTCTAGGTCCCGTGTTAGGGTATAAGGGGTTAGGGTTTAGGGTTTAGGGTTTAGGGGGTTGAGGGTTTAGGGTTTAGGGTTTAGGGTTTAGGGTATAGGGCTTTTGGGCTTTGGGTTTAGTGGGTTTAGGGATGTGCTTTAAGGGTTTAGGGCAGCTGGCGATTGTGACAAGCTCTGCTGACTGTACACGGACCCTTTACAATCGGATCCCAATGTATGCATGCATGCATGCATGCATGCATGCATGCACAGATGCATGTATGTATAGATAGACAGATAGATAGATAGATAGATAGATAGATAGATAGATAGGCAGACAGATAGATAGATAGTAAACACATGCACACTAGCTAGAGCGGTACAGGAAGCTGCGGGTATGGCATTGAACAAACATGTGTGTGTGTGTGTGTGCGCACATTTGTGACGTATTCATGTATGTATGTTTGTATATATACACACACACATATATATATAGACACACCTTGTGTAGCCATATATATATATATATACACGTACATATACATAACTGCCAAGTATATATATATATATATATAGCTCTCTCTCTCTATGTGTAGATACATAGATGTATAGGTGTGGGTAGAAGCATATACACAAACACTTACACACATATACACCCATATGTGCATAGACATGTATATGCACATATGCATATACATATACATACACACAAACATACACACATGCATACACATGTGCATACAGATAGACACACACACACACACATACATGCACATACCCCTGCACAAATACATAGACCTACCTACCTCCTACCTACCTACCTACCTACCTACCTACCTACCTACCTACCTACCTACCTACCTCCATGCACAATGTTCTGTCATGTACTACGTCTAGCGTGGCTGATAAGATGTCACCAGTGCAGGCAAAAGGGCTCCGTGGCCCAGTCCAAGCGCTTGCCAAGGTCGTCCCTTGGATCAGGCTTTGGGGGTGCCACAGGCTTTTTAATAGTTCGAAACCCTAAACCCCGAACCCTTAACCATACAGGGTTTAGGGTTTAGGGTACAGGGTTTTAAAGTAGCCTCAGGGGAGGCCTTCTGATAATCGGAAGCGCGTGCCTGGAGGAATCTCAGGGGTAGTTGCCGTGTATGTATCACTTCAAACAAGATTGTCCGGGCCCGAAACCCATGCCTAGCAAAGCAGGAAGCACAAAAGAATGCCACCGAGATTCTCCACCTCCCGATGTCGCGCATGCTCCTGCAAGAGCCTCAAATGATCGGGGATCAATGATTCAAAATAAGCTAAAACCCAGAGTTTAGGGCTAAGGGGCTCAGTTTAGGGTTTAGGAGGGTTTAGGGTTTAGGCTTCAGGGCCTCCTACGAGTTGACATCAGCCAAGACTGGCGTGTTCGGACTAGACTACTCGAAGGATCAAGGACCGAGTAAGTTGGATAAAATTCGGGCAGCACAAAACTGTGGTAGCTACAACCCCAGCTGTCTGCTTAGTGCTTGGATTCCCCTAGACCCTAAACTAAACCCTAAACAAATAAGCCCGAAAATCCTGAACTTTCTGAACCCTTTCAGGGCTCAGCGAATTTGCATTCGTTTCAAAGGGCTTTAGACACACAATCTAGCGTTCTGGGCACGTGTGTCGGGCTCCAAGTCTGGGACTTCGTGGTGGAAAATCTTTGTCTGAAACAGGGGGGCCTTACTCATAAGAGTAGGGTTCAAGATTTGAGGTCTAGGGGCCTCAACCTAAACCCTAAACCCTAAACCCTAAACCCTAAACCCTAAACCCTAAACATCTTGGGGCATGTGGGGCCTAAGCCCTAAACCCGCAAGCAAAGTTTCGGGCGAGTCGCCGCTCTTCAGCATCCTCGAGTTGCGCCAGCAGCGCCTTCGTCTAAAACCGGTACTTGGAGGGCCGGGGGACTCCGTAAGTGGGGTTTAGGGTTTAGGGTTTTAGGGTTTAGGGTTTAGGGTTTAGGGGGATTTAGTAAGTAGATATTAAGTAGACTTATAAGTACCCTAAAAGGGACCCTAAGTGGGGCTATAGTACTTATAAGTCTATAAAATAACTAGTTACTAAGTCCCCCGACCCTCCAAGTAAGGTCTCATTGCGGGTTTTGGTGACAGTCCCTTTGTATATTACAGGGCCTTAATGATTAAAACACGGTTTATTCGGTTTTTCAGAGGTTTTATACAGGTAGAACTGTTGCACAGGGGCGGGAAGGGGTTGCGTCTAGTAATTATTCCGAACTCCATATGATCCAGTCGAGTAGATCAAGGCTGCCCAATGAAAGGCAAACGTACCACTGATGAATAACCCCCCCATTGGCCCAAAATGGATTGTAACAGGGACCCTAGTAACCAGGCCTTTAAAGAGAGGGGCTTTGATAATCAAGGGTGTACGTTAAGGCATTGAGGTTCTTCATCCAGGAGACAACCAGTTCTTGCAGATTGAATCCCGTGATTTGAAGCCTAAACCGAAGCCTTGAACCCTAAACCAAGGCCCCTGCATCTAGAATACGGTCTTGGGGCATATGACAATATACTCTACAGGGAGTGATCGTAGGTTATGTACGAAAATCAGCCAAACCCAAACCGTAAACCCTAAACCTGTAACCCGAAACAACTCGATCTGCAGGGTGTCCTGCTTCTCCTGCGTCTGCTCGCGCGTCAAAGCATCCAGGCGCGCAGCAGCGTGCGCTTCACCTCGGACTGCAGAAGGGGGTAATGTAGGTGCCTTAATAATTAGAATGGTTTTGGGGGTTCCTTATTATAATTCTGGTATACCCCCCAACCCTATTCTAATTATTAAGGCCCCTATAGTGGGGCCTGACATGGGGGCCTTCAAATTTAGAATAGAGCCTTGGAGTTAGAATAGGGACTTCGGAGTTAGAACAGGGTCTTCAGAGTTAGAATAGGGCCTTCAGAGTTAGAATAGGCCCTTCGGAGTTAGAGGGGGGCCTTCAGAATTAGAATAGGGCCTGGGGGGGGGGGCCTTCATAATCAGAATCTGTTTAGGGGTATATCATACCCTACCTATAGTAGGGACTATCAGAAAACAATATTAAGTTATTTAAGCTTGTATACTACCCTCCTAAACCCTAAACCTTAAACCCTTTTTCGAGCTCTGGAAGCAGGTCATGGAAGCATTAAGGATCGGGCGTGTCATTCGGGGTTCGGGGCAGTTTTGGGGTTCTGTTTCCAAAAAAAACCTACCTTTTTAAGGACCTATACATAGAAACTATAATAATGAACTCTAAAAAGGTAGGGCTCTTCGGCTACAGGTAGGGTTCAGGGTTTAAGGAAGTGCATGGCATGGCTTGGGTGGAGACGCCCAGCGAATCCAAGAGATGACCCAGAACTCCTCCTTGAGGCAAATGCCATGCGAAAGTTGCAAACACCGGCGCAGTTAAGTTCAAGTTTTCCATGTGCGCCCTAAACCCTAAACCCTAAACCCTAAACCCCTACACCCTAAACCGTTTCTGCCATAGATTCTGATGTAGACTCAGGCAGTGATTCAAACCCTAAACCCTAAACCCTAAATGCCCATTGACGCTTCCACGGTCTGCCGAGAATCCCAACTGCCTGCCTGTCTGTCTGTCTATCGGGTTTAGCGGTTTACAGTTTAGGGTTCGCACTGATCTATCGATCTGTCCATCTATCTGTCGGTCTTTCCCTGTGCCTGTTAATCTGTCTGTCTGTCCGTCTGTCTGTCTGTCTGTCCGTCCGTTTGTCTGTCTATCTAACCATCTACTCGAATCTACCTGTCGACCTCACTATCTGTCAATCTCTCTGCTTATCTATCTATCCATCAACCTCTCTGCTTAGTTAATCTATCGATCTATCTATCTATCTATCTATCTATCTACCTATCTACCTCCCGATTTATCGACCGACCTACCTACCTACCTCTCTATCATCTAGCCATACATCTGTCCATCGACCTATCGGTCGATCAATCCATCTACCTACCTGCCTACCTGCCTACCAACCTACCTACCTACCTACCTACCTACCTACTTACCTACCTATCTAACTCCCTATCTACTACGTATACTATATATATATATATATACACACACATATACATGTATATATACATATATGTACACACATTCGACGAGCATGCAGACATACCTACATGCATACATCCATACCATACCGTAGTGTACCGTACCATACCATGCCATACCATACCATACACAGACACACATACATACATACATACATACATACATACATACATACATGCATGCATACATACCTACATACACACCCACGTACGTACATACGTACATACATACATGCATCCATGCATCCATGCATCCATGCATGCATGCAGGCATGCATACATACGGCACATACATTCATCAATTCATTCATCCATTCATTGGTTCATACATACATACATACATACATACATACATACATACATACATACATACATTACATACATACATGTAGATTCATGCATATATATATATAGAGAGAGACAAATAGAAAGAAAGAGATAGTCGAGTTGAGTACAGAGATAGAGAGAGAGAGAGAGAGAGCGAGATAGGGATCAGAGAAAGGGTATTCCGATAAAGTAAACGTCCTGTCTCTACCCTCGATGATTGCTGAAACCAACTCCTCCATAGTCATTCAAATCACGTGATCGCATCTCGGCAAGGGTCGCCTCACGATCCTGCCCCAGGCTTCAACCCAGCACTTAGCTTGCGGTGTCGGCTTAGTTTTTTTGCGGCTGCTCTAGCTGGTATTCAAGCGGTTGCTTCTGCCGGGTGGCAAGGCCTAACTCCACAGCATCCGTGCCCAAACTAGGGGAGCAGAATCACAGTCGTCTGCCCCGGCGGAAACACCATCTGAAGACAAAAACACAGTCTTGAAGACATTGGCGTCCTCCTGTTCGGCCAAGAGCTCATCTACTCGTACCGAAAGGCTAGACTCACCTCAGACTTCGCAGATTACAGGGGGATTCCAGCTCCTGGCTAAAGTAGGCTCTTTAGTATGAGGGGACGGTACAATTATTCGGAACCCGTAAGTGTGGTAACCATGATGAAGCTCATTGTGACGATGATGGCTGCTCTGCAAATCTTTCGGTGACTGTTGACTCTTGCGCTATCTTGTTCTTCTAGGATTCTGAGCATTGCCGCTAAAAGCATCATGACCAGCATTGCTCTTCCTGCCACTTTTAACAGTTCTGCAATTGTTTGCACTGATGCACACAGATGGTCAAACGAATTGTTGCGGTGAAAGCCTGTTCCAGCAACACCTGTAAGCAAGACATACATGGCGAATCCTGGATTTAGCAATGTATGGTTGCACGGTTTACCACGACATTATCGTCGTCGTTGTAAGTATGATACCTACTGGTCAGCACCGACATTAATAGCCACACCCGTACTGATGATAAACATCTTCTCAACACTGTAACTATTATTTTGCGGAGGTTCTCGTTATTACTTTCAGTACACTTGATACTTCGTATTGCTGACACCATCAGTGAAGTGGCTGTAAAGACTTAGCCAGTGCTGTTGCAAATATAAACTGGTGCTACTGCTGCAGCTACTGCTACCAATAGTGCTACTGGCACTGGCACTGGCACTGGCACTGGCACTGGCACTGGCACTGGCACTGGCACTGCCCCTGCCCCTGCCCCTGCGACTGCGGCGGCGGCTGCGGCTGCGGCTGCGGCTGCGGCTGCGGCTGCGGCTGCGGCTGCGGCGGCGGCGGCGGCGGCGGCGGCTGCGGCTGCGGC